GCTGCTATTATGATTATGACACGTGAGATATAACGTGATCATTGATTGAAAGTATCGAATTTATATCGAATTGGAAGAAAATAATGCAACTATATAATTTATAGTTTAATTATAGGAGAAGAAAAATTCTAAAAACATATTAGGTGAATTTGAATCGTTACACGAAAATTAACAAATTAACAAATTCTATTTAAAATAAAGTAATATTTAATTAATATAAATTATGCAATAAATGTTAAAAATTTTTTCCTTCAATACATGCAATATTCCAAAAAATGCTTTCTATATTTAAAAATTATATTATTTGAACAATATATTCTTTAAAAATAAAACGAAAATTATTTCTTTTTTTTAAGAAATATATATAAATTTTATAAATTTTTGTTTATATTATTAACTCCAATTCCTTTTTTTCTTGTAAGATAATCTTTTGTATCATGAATGAAGATACAATTTAATAAATTCTAAATCAAACTCGAAGCCAAAAGTTCAAGAAACGGATGGCATGGTAAGAAATAGATATGACAGCGCGATCTACACATATACAGTAGAAACTTTGAAAACAAGAAGGTTATTTCATCACCCATTTTACGAGAGACTGAGATAGTCGGCACGGTTGTTGCTAGTGGAGACGCTCAAGAGAAACCCACTTGAACTGAAGGATACTCCAAACAGCACGTACAAGGCCTTCCGCATCTATGTCTTCGCTTGGCCAGACGGACTCGACGACATTTGTTAGCAAAGAAACATGACACTCGATCATCCGAGTCGCAGCCGAGTTTCGTGGGACACGCGAAAAAAGAGAGAGGGGGAAAAAAGATGAAACACAGAAACCTTTCAAAGCGACGCGCGATTTAATAAAAAATTTCCTCGTGCTGCCTGAAATAAAAAAAGGGAAAAATTTTAAATTTCCGAAATAGTTGAAATTCCTTGAAATATGCATACAAACACAAGTGTGCGTGTGTACAGTCGAAAATAGAATTTCAATTATGGAATCATTGCAAAATTGTAAAATGTCTAACAAATTTTTTTATAATCAGCAAACAAGTAACTTATATTATATCTATTTAATAAATGCATTTTTCTATTCTTTCTTCACTGTCATATTGGAAAATATGACAAATGAAAATATGAAAAATA